AAATGAAAAAACAAGGAGCCAAAATCTGAAATACTCAGTCCAAGAAGACTTATATTCACCGGGTCTTGCAGACCTTGTCGGACAAAGACGATGATGTTGAGAATGTTGACAATCAGACCTAAGATTGTCATACTTTGGCCAATTCCTAGTGTGTTTATCATGGTAAAATATGTCAGCATTTTGTCACTGACCAAGATCTCATTGTCGTCCCCATGGGTGGGTAATGTTAATTCAGAAGACTTTGGAGTAGCCATTTCGGTACTTCAGCTTCAAAATAGTGGTCAGAGGATCTGGTTAGCATTCTGTACTCAGAGGAAAGGAAGAACGGACACACAGTCAGACGGCTACGGTTACAATCGGAACTAGAGCCTTGTGCTGGTTTCTGAAACTGGGCACGGACAGCAAATGAGAATGCCCCGAGTGCCGCCGAGGGACTTTGACTGCCCAGTTAACAACGCCATTAAAAATGTTTACCAAAATCTATCATGTTAACCAGTACTTTAAACGTTAACCATAACTTTAGAATTTTAACCATTGCTTTAAAACGCGAATATCTCACTCTGCCCATGAACGTCTTTTGACCCTAACAACCATAACTTTAGGATGTTTACCATTACTTTAAAACGTTAATACTTCACACTGCCAATTAACTGTTACTTGCCCTAACAACCATTGCTTTAGGATGTTAACCATTACTTTAAAATATGAAGGCTTCACACTGCCAATGAACGTTTACTGGCCCTAACAAAAATTACTACAATTCAAACTGCTTGACAGCAGATAGATAAAATGTTTTTTTTAAAAAAGAAATCAGCATCGTAGGCATTCTTTCAAAACGCGAATTCTTCACGCGATATACAGAAACCTAGGTGGATCGACTTTCTTACATCGCTTTTATCCCACATGGCCGAGTCTCTGCACAATAGAAGGGTCGCACAAATCACACATCCCGTAGCACAAGCGACGATCACAGGGGATCTTCCTGAAAACTGCACTTGTGAAATTAACTTATGAGCTCAGGAGACCATGAAAACGATTAACCCACGTAGCCACAAAGGTCCTGTTTCGTTTCATACATCTTAACCATAACAGGGTAGATATATTTTTTTATTATGCTGTATGTTGGACACTTGTCGGGGCAGGCCGATCTTAAAATATCAATGTGATGGCCCTCAGGACAAGAAATAATTCCCTGCCTAATTTATCCTACAAATTTCCCCAGTTTACCAATTAGATGTCATTTTACACGTTTCAATCTGTTGCTTGTTACGGCGGGTACGTTTTTTGGGCGTTGACTGAAACATACAAATAATCAACTAATGGAACAATCCGATCCACTTATGTGTGTTTAAAATCGACAACTTACCAGCAGTGTGTGTCAGTATTTGAATATAACGAAACAAACTTATCTTAAACCAAGGTTTTTCAAGAATATTCAAATTGGTTAAAGAGAAAAATCACTTTTGCCCTGTCTTAAGACTTTAATAGTCAAATTCTATGATCGTATTTACCGATTACTATTGCACTGAATGTAATCTGTTTCTATTTAGTCGCACCGGATGATGTTAAAAGCATACCAATATGTTTGTGCATTTCTAAAGTTTCTTATAGTAATTTTGTAATTACGAAAAATTAACTATTAACACATTTAAGAATTGCCAGTTGTAATGGTGTTAATTAGCTTACAGACTGTGGCCAACATATTGATGTTCTATTAAAGTTCCCCAGTCTTTGTCCAAATTGTGCCTACATATCGACGTTCTATTAAAGTTCCCAAGTCTTTGTCCAAATTGTGACAGTAGGTACAATGTTCCATCCATGATATATTTGCGTTACTGCTCTGCTCTAATCTTTAATTTAGAGTATTCTCAGACTCTCCGTAGACAGCATTGACAAATAGATTCAGCTATGATCTTCTCGTGGTTAAACCTGTTTATCTATCTTCTGTTAGTTAATTGATTGGTAGAATAGACAACCTTTGGAACAGTATTATGAAGTTGAACAGGGTTTCTTAGACTGGCTTCTTTTTGATTCTCATCCTTCGAATGTTCATCCTACGACAGGCACACCCGGAGGACAACAATGATTGACGGCCCTGAAAGTTTCAAGTCCTAACTTTTAGGTTCGCTCGTAAATGTTCATGTCACTTGAGATTGAAGATGCTTACATTAATCGGAATGACCTTGATATATCCCGCTATGATACTGAAGCAGCTTCTCCACGGCGGCTGCGTTAGAAATATCTTCGTTCCCAAAATCAAACGCAGAACCAGTGAAGTTTGCAATACCGGTATTCGAGCTTGATATATGTGATCGATGGAAGAGTAAAAGAGACACTACTGAAGCACAACATGACATTAAAACAGGCTACCAAGTAGTATAAATACATACAACAAATAACAAGAATATATTGAGAGTCATGGCGGCAGTTGCAAACAATGGGCATAAACGAAATGTTGGTCAGTTTCACGAAAATTACAGTAGTTAGAGAACGACCGGGGACAAGCCTTTATAAGTAAAAAACCACAACACATCATAAAGCCGTGAATTGTGATAAAGTAACAAATTAAGGCAAACTGTGAAATTGAACACTTAATAAATAAGCAAGTACAATATAATGAAACACGCAGCCCTAACTTTAGCGGGTTTTAATACTGCAAGTTAATTGATGACCTTTTTCAACCGGCTACGCGATCTTCGCCAGAATTACGGAGTTCATGTGTCCGTGCTAAGATCAGATGCAGAAGTATCTACAAGGTACAGAATGAGGAAAGGATAGTATGAATAATAGACGTACCTGGCAGTGGTTGCTCCATCGAAAGACTGAGCACGCATGGGAATTCCCACTGTGCAGTGACGTCGATTGTGATAACATAACATAATATGATATGACATAACATAGCTAGCTACCCCCGAGTGGAAGTTTTTGGTTATACTGTAGTCTGTGTTTATTTTTAGATCAAGAGCGTAACTTGGATTTTTTGCCCAGAATATTCAGGTGTGTGAAGTGAGAGTAGAGTGATAGACTAGTTGCTGCCGCTCCTCTGGACGGTGAGCTACTACATGGTAAAACAGATGCGGTTAAGGTGCTATGAGATCAAGGAGGCAGTGCAAAAGAACATATAGAGAACCTATTCACTTAAAGACGAATTCAACTGGGGGTGAGTATAAGTTTGGGAAGAGATACAACACAAGCTGGAAACAGAGGCGGACATTTAATCACATTGCAACTGCTACCATTAGCATATCAGCTCTTCGTTTGTTACCGAAGAAGGGGACGGAGCACGCTTGGAAATGTCTCGAGTGCAGTGATGTGAATTCTCATTTCAAAAATTCATTCATTCATAGCTAAAACTGTTGGCTGCAAAGTAGCCACAAGAAACCTCTTGCGGTGATGATACGACGACCAGGTCAAACTACCTTTGCGACCGGTGATCGAGTCACCTACTGGTGGACCAATAAGCCACCCTGGCGTCCATGCTTCAAGTATTACATCGCTCCCATTTTTATTGTGAATTATTACACACATGCATCGTTCTTAAATATAGTTACTTTATTTTAATTTCAAAAGAGTTGCCGTGATTTAACGGTCAGACGTTCGCTTGCCGATTCGAAGGTCGTGGTTTTGGAGTTCCAACATAACCGATTAGGAATTTTTTTTTTTTTAAAAAGAGGAATAAAAATGACCGCAGTGACTCTTCTCTGAATCTAATCAAGTAGTCAGCTCTGACACATTGACAGATACTTTTAAAAAGCAAGCTTTAACAGAGAAAGACTTTGGGAAAACACCAAACAGCTGATAGAGATTCTTTTTATTCTCCAACGATGTCCTCTCGATCAACCAGTGCGCTAGAGTATTTTGTTTAGGGACCTAGCTATGTTCACGGGTGTCGTTTGGGGGCCTAGCTATGTTCACGCGTGTCGTCTAGGGACCTAGCTATGTTCACGCGTGTCGTTTAGGGACCTAGCTATGTTCACGCGTGTCGTTTAGGGACCTAGCTATGTTCACGCGTGTAGTTTGGGGGCCTAGCTATGTTCACGCGTGTCGTTTGGGAGCCTAGCTATGTTCACGCGTGTCGTTTAGGGACCTAGCTATGTTCACGCGTGTCGTTTAGGGACCTAGCTATGTTCACGCGTGTCGTTTGGGGGCCTAGCTATGTTCACGCGTGTCGTCCAAGGATCTAGCTATGTTCACGCGTGTCGTTTAGGGACCTGGCTATGTTCACGCGTGTAGTTTGGGGGCCTAGCTATGTTCACGCGTGTCGTTTGGGAGCCTAGCTATGTTCACGCGTGTCGTTTAGGGACCTAGCTATGTTCACGCGTGTCGTCCAGGGACCTAGCTATGTTCACGCGTGTCGTCTAGGGACCTAGCTATGTTCACGCGTGTCGTTTGGGGGCCTAGCTATGTTCACGCGTGTCGTCCAGGGACCTAGCTATGTTCACGCGTGTCGTCTAGGGACCTAGCTATGTTCACGCGTGTCGTCCAAGGATCTAGCTATGTTCACGCGTGTCGTTTAGGGACCTAGCTATGTTCACGCGTGTCGTCTAGGGACCTAGCTATGTTCACGCGTGTCGTCTAGGGACCTAGCTATGTTCACGCGTGTCGTATAGGGACCTAGCTATGTTCACGCGTGTCGTCTAGGGACCTAGCTATGTTCACGCGTGTCGTCTAAGGACCTTGCTATGTTCACGCGTTTCGTTTAGGGACCTAGCTATGTTCACGCGTGTCGTCTAGGGACCTAGCTATGTTCACGCGTGTCGTCTAAGGACCTTGCTATGTTCACGCGTGTCGTTTAGGGACCTAGCTATGTTCACGCGTGTCGTCCAGAGACCTAGCTATGTTCACGTGTGTCGTCCAGGGACCTAGCTATGTTCACGTGTGTCGTCCAGGGACGTAGCTATGTTCACGTGTGTCGTCCAGGGACCTAGCTATGTTCACGTGTGTCGTCCAGGGACCTAGCTATGTTCACGTGTGTCGTCCAGGGACCTAGCTATGTTCACGTGTGTCGTCCAGGGACCTAGCTATGTTCACGTGTGTCGTCCAGGGACGTAGCTATGTTCACGTGTGTCGTCAGGGACCTAGCTATGTTCACGT